AAATGTCTACTGTCCACCCTTCAGTGTCCACTGCTGGGTTTTTAGAAAATGATATGTATTACATTAAAAATCAGACATAAATTACCCACTTAATTGAAGTTAATCCTTTATCAAAATAATTACTTGTTAGGTTTTATAACTGTAACTTGAAAATTCTAAGGTCAGGTTCCTGGTCTGACTCTATATCCAGCAGATTTTCTATTGTTCTCTTCTCAGTGTTTCATTTTATTCAATGGTAAATTAGGAGTTTGATAGCTCCCATCCATCACATAATTTCTAATATCAACCAATTATCATCAAATAGCATTTCGAAAGTAGTTTGGGAGATAGCTTAATGGTTTTTATGTATAAATATACAAAATACATTTAGAGCAGTTATCTACAAAACCATGCCCACAATGTTCAGCAAATGTTAAACAATGGCTCTGTTTTCTTTCCTCTTCTAATATATGGTATGTTTCCAAACAAGTTTTTTGAAGTACTAAAAAATTAATAACAATGTGTCAACAGAAGCATAATTTATAAACTTATCTAACTGCCAATGATGTGTTGACATATATTAGCTTATGCACACACAAAGACTATAAAAAAATGGAGGCTAAGTGCATTCTACAAGCTGGCCAGCCTTGACATGACCCTCTTAGCTGCTGTAATATTATCCAACTTATTGTTCAGAGATGTTCCATCTGTGCTGCTTGGTTATTAACACATACTGTAAACAACTACCACTGTCTCTGCACAGGACAACTCTGTCTGCAGTCTCAAACATTATGCTGTGGGACTGAACCAAGACACTCCTTTTCTGGGACCTGGCTGAAATTTACACACTTACTTGGCTTTAGTACATGGCTCTACTCTGCTGCTGGCTTTCTCTAGCAGCATGTCACCTAGACATGAATCTTCATCTCAGGCTCTGTTTCTAGAGAACCAAGGCTAGGATGCTGTGCTGTTTTTTTGATGAAAGTAACTCTTAATGATCAGCAGCTAAGGGCCTGACATCAGTATACCATGTGAGTTGAGTTGAGCTGGTTTATGAAGGATATTTTTTTCCAGCATGTGACTGTTCGGAAAGGCTATCAGTGTCCAGTTTTCTCATAAAGAAGGATACAACTTCAGCAATATATAGACATCAAAGAAAAAACTGAATATATGTACAACATGTATATAGATAGACAGATACACAATATATACACAACATGTATAAAAATGCATTCACTTAAATACTCCACATAGGAGAGAGCTTATCTAAACTATGATACATCTATACAATAAGTACAACATAAGAATGAGGGTAAGTTCCATGAGTTGACAGGGAGTAACTTCCATGGTATACTGCTAAGTGAAGAAAAGAAAAACAAAAAAGATTATATCAAGTCATATATCTTAAATAGACACAACTGCAAAACGTGAACTACATCTCAACATAGACAGATATAAACTGGTAAATTCAAATGCTGTAATAAAAAGTAGTTGACATGTTAACAAATAGCATTCCCAGACTTAATTTAGCATTTAACTAAAAGGTTAATGAAAGCATTTACATAATCAATTATTTTGTGGATTGGTAATAAAGTTGAACTTGAGTATTATTATGTTAAGATTAATGGCATTTTACTTCATATATGTTCATACATTGTAATTATACTCCACCATAGATTTTCATATAGAACTCAATCAAAAGACAATGACAGGATTTATACTGTGATACTCTTCCAGTAAGAAAGAAAGAGGTATGAGGCAGTCATGTATCAATTCTTTGTGACAAAAAGGAAAGATAAATGGGAAACTGAAGACATTGATTAGTAAAAGGAAGCTATGGGAAAGGTGCAGAAAACAGAGAGGACTGAGGTAGGGACAGGGGAGTAGGGCAAAGAGGGAGAGATAACTCTGACTATACCTCTGTAAAGCTTGGACTCAGGGTTGGCATTGCAGCGCTGTGGGTTAAAGCACCATCTACAACACCAGCATCTCCTATGAGCACTGGTTAGAGGCAATGCTGCTCCACTTCCCATTCAATTCAGTTACTAAAGCTGAAGACAGCCCAGGACCTTGGGCCTCTGCGCCCATGTGGGAGACCAGGAGGAAGTTCCTGGCTCCTGGATTCAGCCTGGCCTAACCTTGACTGTTACAGTCATCTGGGGAATGAATCAGCAGATGAAGCATCTCTCTCTGATATCTTTAAAAAATAAAAACTGAAAATAAAAGCTTGGACTCCTGGCATCACCATAATATTTCACACACCACAAAATACAATACTGGGAAATCCTAAAAAAAGAAATGTAAATGTTAACAAATGAGCCGACTGCATTTCAAAGAAACAATGTAACCATACTGACTAGAATGAAAAAGAAACTCTCTTATCCAAACAATTTTAGAAAGTAGTATCTTGACTGGATATTATATGGCTATAATAAAGACAAAAGAAGCACACACAAATACTATGATATAGATAGAAAAAGTGTTTTCTTACAGGAGTATGGGTCAGCAATTTTGAAAATAGTACATTTGCATACTAGAATTGAACAAATAACAGCTAATTATCTCACTACTAGAGAAAGATGTCATAAATACGAAAAAGGGCAAGACCAAATGTACAGGACTAAAATCAGATAAACCAGTTTAAACTTACAGCTTTAGATACACATATAGAATGAGATGTGTATATGTGGAGGCTGATGGATATGCATTGGTCTCCTATATTTGTTAGAAGACAGGACCTATAAACAGTGGCACTGCACCAGCAATGAGCACATCTAGTATTTAGCTCTTGGCTTCTAAACACCATTTTCCAACAAAAGGAACTAAAGCCCTTTTGGAGAAGTGGTCAACTTCAGGGATAGAAGGAAGCAAAATATAGATGAGCTTAAAACATCTTGTGAGACCACAATCAAGGAATTTCTCTAAAAAACATACTGGAGAACTTATTGAAAAAAGACAAGTGAGACCAGTGGTGTGTTACAGTGGGCACAGTCACTGTCTGCAATGCTGGTATCTCACATGGGCTCCAGTTCATGTCCCAGCTGCTCCACTTTGACCCTGCTTATGATCTTCCTGCTTATGGCTTAGGAAAAGCAGTTGAAGATGTCTCAAATGTTTGAGCTGCCATTCCCATGGGAGACCTAAAGGAGGCTCTTGGCTCCTGGCTTTGGCTTGGCCAAGCTCCGGCTGCTGCAGTCATCTTGGGAGTGAACCAATGATTAACTTCTCTGTCTGTTTGTAATTGACTTATAAATAAATAGCAAATCTTTCAAAAGAAAAAAGTGAGAGAGAAAGAGAAAGGAAAGAGGGAGGAAGAGAAGAATGGAGGATGAAGGAAAGAAAGAAGAAAAGAAAACAGGTGCCACTGTGAAGAAGTTTTTTGCCAAAACTGGAGCAATATGAATAATAAACTAAATAAACATAGCATGAACACTGGATTTTAGCCTACAGAATACACATTTAAGAAACCACTAAAAATATCTGAAAAGTTATTAACATGAGGGAAGAGACACCTCTTCTTTTAGGCAGACTTCCAGTTATTTACTATAAAAGAATTGAGGGAAACAGAAAAATCACCATTAGGCATATTCCACAGTAATAATGTTACAGCCAAATCCAGCCAGGAATGTTAAAACTAGACAGCAAAAATTAGAAGAGAAAAAAGATTTTCACAATTTTAAACTTTTACCTCTCAAGAAAATATTGACCTGAAATATTATGATAATTTTACAGTGGAAACAATTGGAAGACACTGTCTTAACCAAGTGACAATAAGATATTTTACCATCATTAAGATTTTTATGCGTTACACTGAATAGAACGCATTGTGTGTGTGTGTGTGTGTGTGCGCGTGTGTTGGTGGTGATGACAGTGGTTTTTTTTGCTAAGTATGCATAATTTCATGCTAACATTACAAAAAATATTAACGCAACTCAGACTGAGAGAAAGTCTACAAAATAAGTCATCAGTATTCATTAAAGGTGTCAAGGTCATAAAAAGCAAGAAAAACTGAGAAACTGTAACACAGAGAGGACTAAAGAGAAATAAAAACTAAATGAAAAATGAGATCCTGGAACCAAGAAAAAAACATGAGCAGAAAAACAGGTGAAAACTAAGGCAAGTAGTTTTAGTTTACTGTATTGTAACAATGGCAGTGTCATAATTAATTACATGAGTTATATACAAACTAACATTAGGAGAAGTTGGGTGAAGCGCATATGTGAATTCATTGCAGTAATTTTGCAAATTTCCTGCAAGTCTAACATTAAGAGAAAATTTCAAAAATTCAAGGGCTGAAAAGTCTATAGCAGTGGAAGATTAAGGTAGCTGATTTAGTGGCTTTATGAACAACCTTACATTCACCCATGTGAAGTTATCCAAGGGAATCTGGGCAGGTAGGGTCTCCTACGCAGTGATACCTCCATATGCAATACTAAACCTAAAGGCTGGTCCTTAAACAACCTACAAACTACTCCATTTTATTTATCTTTAACTCTTCTCAACCAAGGAAATGCATACAGGAAGTGTTGTCTTAATCAGATACAGAATTCACATAATGGTTTATACCAGCCTGAAGATCTGAAAGAACTGGTCTATGTTTAAAATTCTTCATTTTAAGGGTGAGCATTTGCACAGAGGTTAAGAATTTGCTCAGATGCTTGCATCTCACATTAGGATCCTAGATTCAAGTCCCAGCTCTGTTCCCAATTCCACCTTCCTGGGAATCCACAACCTGGGAAGCAGCAGGGAATAGATATCTGAGATTTCTTTCTGTCTGCCTCTGATTTTTTCCCATAAACAAAGTAAATAATTAATAAATCTAAAATAAATAAATAAAACACACTATTTTAGAGTCTTAAGATACAAATGCGTAGGCTGTTAAGCCTATGAGGACCTGGCCCTATTTTTCATGCTTAAGTGTGAAATAAGAAACGGAGAAGTTAGAATTTACAAATGTCATTGTTATGCTTTCCAAATGCATTAAACGTCTCAATTTTTCTCCTTCACAGTTATTTTCTTACTTGGAATATGCTGGTGAGACCCAGTATGGGTTGTCTTCTGCGGCTTTGGCATGACGCAAAATGGCTTCTCGGGGATTGCTGTCATCAGTCTTGTCTAAAGCAATGTTCTTCACAATGTAGGAGGACAGAGTACCCCCATGGGTTCCAACGCGGCCACCACGGCCTGTCTCAAACAGAAGAAACTCAATCAGAAGCAGAGAGAACATGGCAATGCAGTTACACCTGTGATTATCTGAGCTTAGGTCTCAGAAGCACAAACAATAGCTTTTTAGTTTACACTCATCACAATCAGAATCAGAGGGAGAAGTTGCTAGACTCAGCTTCACCATGACATCTTCAAATAGGAAGAACATTTTAAAAATTACTAGTAGGGGCTGGCATTTTGTTATAGAGGGCTAAACTGCCACCTACAATGCTGGCATCCTATGCTAGCACATCAGTTCAAGTCCAAGCAGCCCCACTTGTCATTCAGCTCCCTGCTGATGAGCTGGTTGGGCCTGTTATCCACACAGGAGACCTGGATGGACGTCCAGGCTCCTGGCTTCTACCTGGTCTAATCCTGGGCCATTTGGGAAGTGAAACAACAGATGTAAGATGGATTGATCCCTTCCTCCCTATGCCCTCTCCATTTCTCTCTTCCTTACTCCTTTCCAAATAAATAAATCTCAAAAAATTTTAATGTATTCATTCCTTAATTTACAGAATACCAATATGGAAAAATCATAGTTTGTCACATTTGTCCTTAAAAAAAAAACCCTCCAATATATTAAATTAATTAAAATAACAAATATTTTATTATAAAAAAATTTCACAGCCTCCCTCCCATCTTTCAAGTGTCTATGGGTACATGACTATAGCTATAACAAAAAACCAAACACCTGAACACATTAGGTCACATTATTCAGCTGGAATACAGCTGCCTTAGTAGACAGAGATTCTAGGGGCAAAATTTTGTGCCCTGCTAAATTCCTAATGGCTAAGACAAAATCAAATGTGAAAAGTCAAAGAACTCTAAAAAATTAATCTTACAAATCAAGATTAGAAGAAATTCAGTAAGTAGAGAGACAGGCAAATGCCAGAGAATCTGTGTGGCCAGTGACTGTTAGCAGCCCCCAAACCGAGGAAACAACACTGAAGCCTGAGGTGGCCAAGCTGGTGTCAGAGTAGGAGAGCGATGGACTGTAAGGCTTCCAAGGTGGGTTACTGTCAGATTGTAGAGAACTTTTAATCTGAAAATACAGGCAGACAGAGGGAAGCCTATAAAGGTCTGGGGGCAGTAGCAATTTGAGAACTGGAGGAACTGGGGGTCAAAGCTGTGAGCTAAATGAATAGAGGCGGGGTGGGGTGAGGGACCAAGATAAGGCATCTACTTCAGAGGATTCACAATAATCCAGGCAAGAATATGACCCATAAACTTTCTCTGAGGTGGTAGCTGAAAAAATATTTAAATACTAATACTTGAGATATCTACGTGAAATGCTTTTACATCAAAATGGTGGGTCAAGTTGATGCAGGTTGAGAGCTCAGGCTCAGAGGAAAAGCTGCAGGCTTGGGAGGCTGGGACAGATGGACATTAACCAGGTGACAACGGGAAATGGAATTCCAGCAAAGGTATGTGCTATACTCTCTTGGATCAGGGGTGGGTGGGTTGTTTTCTTCTGGGACCCACTTTCTTAAAATTTCTAAAGATGTTCATTCATCTGCTAGTGATAGGAACAGCTCCCTTACTTCAACATACAACTGAATCATGGCCTCTTTCTGCCTTAGTTTGAAACCTAACCCAACTTGGATTCTGGTCAAAGTGCCCCATGCGTTTTAAGCTGGTATTGAGAGATGTGACTTTAACATTGGATTCCATGAGCCCAAGAGTTATTCCAGGGCCACCACGAACAGGGCTCAAGTCAGTCACAGCAGAAAACACCCAAACGCCCTGGGTAATACAGCACAGCAACTCCAATCTTACCAGTTGTACTCTACTACAGACCTTGAAGCAGAAAGTTCTGGCGCTAAAAAGTAAATGCTTGAAAACCTCCCTGAAGATGAAAACACATCCAGGTCCCAAAGTTGGCCCCAGTCGCATTTCATTTACCCCACTCTATCCCTCAATCCAGTTGGATCACAGTCACCTGGGCCTGCGACAGGAGGTTCGGGTTTGTGCGACTTCAGGGGATCCAGTCTGTCCTTCTCCAGCTGTTTCCTCGTACTCCGCTGGCGGGGCTCACGGAACATAGGCAGGGCATGCGCTATGAGAAGTCACATTTAAAATTTTTCATTATAATAACATTTCCATTCGAAAGCATAGCAAGAGCATGACTAAGTGAAGGACGAAATGGAAGTTATAATGATGGGCTTCATCTAATAGTGGAAGACAGTCTTACTGTAACCAATTAGCCACGTTTGTTTGATACCAGACTTATGGTTCACCTCTCCTGGCAGGCAGTGGCACTCAGGAAATGCTGTCAAACACTGTCACGGGAACAGTGGTGAGGCTCCCCATCTACCCCACCGCGAACAGCACTGGAAACTTCCTTTCTGCGGTTTTGGAAAAGAAACGCTCAATGGGGACAGCTTCTGATTTATCTTACGGGACCCAGATGTGGATAATGCCAACGGCTTGCCAGTCAGCCCTGAAGTCTCCTCAGATGCCTCATAAACACTGGAATCACTTCACACGTTTCTGAAATGTGACTACCTCACAGGAGGAGCTGACAACACTGAGTAACCGGAAGGGAGGAGCACTTAGCCCACTGGAACTGGGATAAAGGTTGCCTGGAAGGCAGGGGTGCCCGCATCACCTGGCACAAGGACTCCAGGGGTCTCCTAGATGATGGACAAAACCAGCAGATGTCAATCAGAGAGGGGTTTGTTTGGCTGCTGTTTGTTGTTCACTTGATGTGGGATTTAAACTTCAGAATAGGAACCAGTATAAAAGTTAAAAGGGGAAACTGTACAATACTCTAGGGGAAAGGAAGAGTTAGCAGAAAAAATATTAACTACCTTTTTTTAACCAAAATAAATAAATAATAAACCCACTAGAATAATTTTTTTTTGACTCTTCCATGTAGGCTGAAACCTTTTTTAACAGAAATTTCTTCTTGAGGCTAGAGAAAAGGAGGATCAAGGTTTACAGGGAACTTGCAGCTTGAATGAAATGTCTGTAACATCTCAGAAACTCCACCAGGGTCTTCTCCCACCCTCTGCTCCCTTTACCCTGGGAAGCCAAAACCACACAGCACTCCTGAGAACACACTTGCCTCGAGGCAGGGGAGCCGAGAAACCTAGCTGCCCGCCACTCTGGCGAGCAACACGACACAACAGTATTTTTAGGAGGAAGAAAAATAGCTTTTCACTTCAAACGACCAGAGGAATTTAAGTAGGCCGCGTGTAATTACATGAGCTAGTCTGGTTATGACACCGCCTTTAACACTTCCACTCTTGCACAAAGTGTCATGAGATCTCTGTTGACCGCAAGCTCCAGGGGACTTGGTCTTCCGTGAGATCCACCCCAAGGGGACAGCCCAGCAGTACAGCGCCCCCTGCACTTTACACTGATACATGGAGAAAGACAACAAGGCCATCTGCTCATGGTAATCCCTGTCACAGTCCAGATTCCCCTCCCAGCTGCACCTGTCACAGGTCTCAGACTGTTGGCTCTGGCAGCATGTATCTGCCAGACGGATGAGGTTGTGTGACAACCCTGAGAGAAGCCACTCCACCCAGGGAAGCTTTCTGCTCTCAGTCCAGGTTGTTACCGTGACATATAAATGCCTCTGAAGCAGTCCAGTCTGCGGTCGCAGATATTGGGAGGGAGCTGGAAGAGAACCCTTATCTAAGTCTCGCCACTCTACTGATGAAGTTCAGTTGCTCAGCATTACACTGCCAGAGCCAGGCCTGCAGACTTCAACGTCAGTGCTCCTTCTTGTTTATTCTTTGAACAGTCTGTTATTCTTTGAAGGACTGCTATGGAGTCAGGCAGTAGGCTCAAATGAGGTTTTTTTTCTTCCCTCTGGGGCTGAAAGAACAGATGAGACAACCCTGTCCCTGTGATGGGTCTCAGATGCAAAAGGGGTAGCTCTGCCATGACTCACACTCCTTTTCCCACGGATTTTATCATATGTGCCTAAGAGCCGGGGGCTTGTGTTTTTTTTGTTTTTGTTTTTTTTTTTCTGTCTCGAAAAACACACAATCAACACTACATGAAAGGAGAGGACATGCATACAACTTACGAGTGATGATGTAGTCTTGGGTTAGGGTCTCGGCTTGTTTTGCCTTCCGCTGGGTTTTAACCACACATAATTTTGCTCCTCTGAGAAGCATAAAAGCAAATTACTTCCTTTATTTGGTCTTAGAAATGGAACATCTACATCAAAAGCATTAGATACACGCTGGTACATTGGATGAACGCAAAAGCATTCAGAACCATACACTGGTACGCTGTTTTGTAACTTTCTGAGAGATGGCAACAGATGGGGCCCCAGTGGTAAGGGATTAAAACTGAGGGGAAAGCAAGCCTATCAGTCAGTGGTTACAACCAAAAAAAGGGGGTTGTCTAGAGCACAGGGTTTAAAAAAAATTCCTATAGAAACTGCTTATAAAATTAAGATCCTAAGGAAATATTAACAAAATTTACCCTTTTCACCCTTAAAGGGCAGTGTTCAAATTCTTGTTCATGTCCTAGATGGATGCAATATGGAGGTCTACACCCCAAGTGGCTTATGTTCACACTTCAAACACAAGAGTACAAGCGTCAGGAGTGGAGTTCACTCGGTAGTGTTGCACAAGGATGGGTGGAACACACAAAAACTGCTTGGAACACTTTTCTTCTCAACAATTCAGACCTAGCCCTCTCAGGAGGAGCAAATACAAATAATCAAATTTCTTAACACAGGGATTCCACAGAAAGCAGTTTCCAAAAGTACTCATCATTTTCTCAGATGAAACAGACTCCCTCTCTTCCTAATTACACTGGCATTTTCAATTTCCATATTTAAAACACACACACACACACCAAAATCTGACTAGTCCTTAAGCACCATAATGTACATATAATCTTATTTTATAGGTCTAGGGTTCCAAGTCCAGTCCAGAAAACTCTGAAAGAAGTTGAGGCTGTCTGCTTTTATTTATAGCAAAATCATGGCCACTTAATATTCATTAACAAAAGATGACTTTCCTTTCCAGCCCCCAGAAAGGAAGTAAGATCTCAGAACAGGTTTTAGGGGATGCCAGTGAATTTTGTATGTGAGTGGAAATTTTCAGACCTTGGGAATACATGGAGATTCTTGACTTTGGCATTTGGTGGACCAATGATAAAGTGAAAAAAAGTGATGCTGTTTCTTCCAGCCTGGCAGAGCATAACACATGACGTGCAAACCAGTAAAATGCTGAAAGTCAAAGAAAGCATCGAAATGGAAGAGCCATTTCCATTCCCTGTAAATGGTTAGGTCCTTGTTCTGCTAATCCCTTACATGCATCACTGCTAATGCCACTGTCCAGGATGGCATGCAGAGTGGGCAAGCCCACTTCCCCCCCTTGCTCTCAACATTTCAGCTAAGGAACTGCAAATCCCCAGGAAACTTCCACTTTGAATTCAGTATGGATTAAGGGTGATACCTAAAGCCTCTTTAAAGCACAATATAAGATGTTTGAAGCTTTACCCTGTGCCAGCTGCATTTTCTAAAACGGTGGATTCCTCATCAAAGGGGAAATTAAATGAAAGCAGGGGTGAAAAAAAATCCTTCCCTCCAGTTGTTGTCATCCATCTGAAACAGGCAATACTTTATGAAATACCTCTGACTCTTGTTGGGGTCATAATAGACTTTAGCCAATCCGTTTCCAGTTCCAACCATGATCTGGTTCAGTTTGGGATGCCACAAGCAGCGGACAACACTCTGTAAAAAAAAAAAAAAAAAAAAAAGGCACTTGTCAATTAAAGAGGCCAAAGGAAATGGAGAATCCTGCTGGTACTCTGATGGCTTATTTACTAAATCATATATATCCTAATAGTTACCAGGAACTTTTAGGATGCTTTCTTCTAAACTATCACTGAAGATGTACTCTTTAAAGTTCCATTCCATCACTGATTATCTGTGTGAAACCCTATGAAATTAAAAAAGATGAAGGTAGAATTTGGACTGTCTGGGTGGAACCATAGCTCTATTTGCAGCCCAACTTCCTGTTTATGCCTTTGAGGAAGGCAACAGATGATGGCTCAGTAGTTGGGTTTCTGCTGCTCACACGTGAGATCTGCATCAAGTTTCTGGCTGCTGACTTTGACCTGGGCCAGCCCCGGCTGTTAGAGCGAACTAGCAGATGGAAGACACCTCTGTTTCTGTCTACCTTATCTACCTCGAAAAGAAAACATAATTTTTCTTAAAAAAAAAGTTCCCTTCCTGAAAATACTGTCTTTTCCTGACAGTCATGGGACCAAACAGTAAGGCTTCCCAGCTCCATTACCATGTGAGGTTGGCATCACGCAGTGCTGAAGCCACAACATGCAGGCATGCTTCCTACCAGAACAGATTTAGATCTCTCTGTTTCATGCTTCACACACACAGTATAACCCTCTGGACAGCAGACTGAGGCCAGGTGGTTACTGTTTTTAGTTTATAAAGATCTAAAGCTCATACTGTTTTTTCAAACAGCACACATACTTGTAGGCATATTAAAATCTCTCCCTATCTATGAGATAAAGCAGCAGCACAACAGCAGAAGGAGAGCAGTGATGCAGAATACACAGACTCAGTATTAACCCAAATGGAAAGCTATTTGAAAGAAGGTTCACTGGCAGCCACGGTCCTCTGAATTCATTACTGTGAGAAAAGTAAGCAGAGCTATGGGGTCACAAAGAACCATGAGTTCCCAATCAGAACCACAACTTGCTTTTAATTTGTCTGTAGTAAGAGGGTAAAAGTGGGAGGGATACTATGAACAAAATTAACCAGAGAAAAAAGATGAAGCCAACAACAGTGGGGCAGAAACACCACATGTCAGGTTCTGCAGAATTCACTCTGAGCAAGAAATGAGTGTGGAGGCATAAATTCAATGCTCCTTAATAATCTACCTATTGTCAAGCCACATATGGAAGCTAAGCATAAGAATAAAGAAAATGTGACTACACTTTCAGTGATCAGTATAGCAACTGATCACGATCTGAAAATGTGAAGAGCTGCCAGACTTCCTGATGCTCCACTACTAAGAATAATTTGAGGACCATGCCCAGACCACAGAAATTTCCAAATAGTCACTGGCAGGTAAATGGAAACAAGAGAGTCATAAATATGACTTCACACAGTCACATTTATGTAATTCTATCTAGGATAAGCTCATCAGTGCCAAGATTCAGTTCTTTCAGTCTTTGCTTCAATTTCATTCTTTTCATATCACCCTACATAAATGTATGCTCATGACCTTCCTTTCCTTACTCTTCTTATGGCATGCAACACCTCCGAATGCAGTATGTGATCTGCTTATTAACAATGAGTGTTGCCACCTCCAATGGAACATAAGCTCTGTGGTCACAGATCCTGATGAGTTCTGTTGGAGGCTGTATGCCTGGTGCCTGGATTAGTGTCTGGAGCTCATCAGATGGTCACCACTTACATCCTACCTCAATAAACTGCTCTGCTAGGTAGATGTGAAGAGAATTTTCTAAGCAAAAATCATGATTCTCTATTAAGACTAATTTGATCTATCCATATCATTACATGGGACCCTCAGGTATCCCACAAACGCAGCTGGTTTAGTTAGTTCCATCCTAATGTGGAAAAGCAGAGAGGATGGGCATGATGCAATCTGCCAGAGAAGAGAATGGGAGGGGTTTTCAAGGACCTTTGGAAATAGCAGCCATCCAAAAATAGCCCCAGAGAAATCTTGAAAATATAGTTACATAGTGATCCCTCTCCCTTGGTTCTCTAGAGGTCTAAGCGGTTTAAAATTGCTGGTTCTCAAATACATTTTCAAGTAAGAATTGAAAAAAAAATCCACAATGTAGGGCAGCAGGCTACCACTACTCTCTTCCTGCAGGGTGAGGGTCTACATGCTAGAGTCAACTGCCCAGGCCAACAGACCCTTGTCTGACTGCTTTCCGGGGAACTCAAGCACCTCTATTCCTGTTCAGGTACTTTACCTTCCGGAACTTAAACCTACACATGGCTGATGAGCGTAACTTCTTCTGGAGGAGCACATTTGCTTTTCTTTCATGTCAAGGCAGAGAGAGGCAAATAAAACCCCTTGAACTAAACAGCCATCCCAGAACTCTGTCCTGTGTGGCGATGAGTCAAAAAAGTAGCTAAGCAGGGACTTATGAGCTGCAGCCTGAGTTAGGCAAAGGATACTTAAGTCTCAATTGTCCCAAAACTGGTTATTAATCACATACTACAGGGATTCCAAAAACACAGAATGAAGAAACAGAATTCAAAGTTAATGGTGAGTGGGCCTTTTTCGTGTGTGTGTTTGTTACTATTTATTGTGTATGTTTGGCTAACCTTTGTAAACTTTACAGATAATGTGGCTCCACATTTTGTCCTGTCAAGGAAATGCATCTTAGAGCAGTGAGCTGGCCATCTGCCAAAGCAAATAATCCCTGAGCCAGGGGCAGAGCTGGGGAGCAAGCAGGACTGCCATGCTGCTAACTTGTCAAATAGACATACCAGTCTTTGCTTTACAAAGGGCCACGTGCCTGCTAGAAGCCTAAGGAACCCTCGGCAGACAAACGAGCTATAAATAGAGTGTAATCACTCAATCAACCAACCATCCCCAAACTTCCTTCACCCTGTTCTTATGAGATGACTCCTTTGAGAAGGGGGCTTGACACATTCAGACCTACTGAGTTACTGAGAGATGGCAGTGCCCGCAGGGTTGGGAGCACACCTGAACTGTAGGACCCCAGAATAACATCAAGACGTGTGATTTCCAGGAGGCAAAGGCAGAGTTCTCCCATTTTATGGTGAGATTCAAACAGCAGAAAACCACTGTAGCATAAAGGACTAGATTCTGGAATTAGTCTTTTGGTGTTAATATACCAATGTACTTAATCACACTGATTAATTGTTGAATTTTTACATGAATCTACTTCATCTTACCAAAACACGTTGGCCCACAAATGGCTTCCCTCAATTTATAAAACCAAATTCCATTTCATCACAAAACCAGGCTAATTCTTTGGGCAACGAAGAGTGGCCATAAACTGCCCCTCAAGAAGAACTTGGCTCTAGCAGCAGTCTCTAGAAACAATGACCAGACCCAGGAGTAACATGCAACAGCACTGGAAGGAGCAACAAACTCTCACTGAGCTCTGTATAAATATCTTTCCTGTCTGGAGAGGCCAGAGGAAAATACGGGTTCGGGTCCAGGAAGATGGGAGCATCACATTTAGTCAGCAATGTTAAGATTTCTGTTGACCGAAACAAAACAGGGATTCTGAAATTTCCCTTTAACAAAAGTGAAAAAGCTAAAAAAATTCCAAACAGTTTATTTCCTTGGGTAAAAAATTTACTTTTAGAAGTTAAAAAGGAGAGAAGGAAAGACAGAAACGGGTTTATATTTTGGAACATACTGGTAAGAGAACTATTAGGTATCTGGAATTTTATGCTCTTTAATGTAGTTTGAGGGGCCCGGCACCGTGGCCTAGTGGCTAAAGCCCTCACCTTGAATGAGTCAGGATACCATATGGGCGCCGGTTCTAACCCCAGCAGCTCTACTTCCCATCCAGCTCCCTGCTTGTGGCCTGGGAAAGCAGTCCAGCATGGCCCAAGACCTTGGGACCCTGCACCCTCATGGGAGACCTGGAGGAAGTTCCTGGCTCCTGGCTTTGGATCGGCGCAGCACTGGCCATGGCAGCTGCTTGGGGAGTGAATCATCAGATGGAAGATCTTCCTTTCTGTCTCTCCTTTTCTCTGTATATCTGACTTTGCAATAAAAATAAATAAATCTTTTTTTAAAAATGCAGTTTGAGGTCTCACAATAATACTACTAATACAGCTCGCAATTTCACTCCGTGTCACAGATGAAGAAACTGAGGCTGTTAGAATAGATCAATTTCCCAAGGTCACATCACTTACACAGAGGAGATGGGATCAGTTGGCAGGTTTCTCCAACTGCATGGCTCATTCCCTTATTTTACTCAACAGGCAAAGCCCTATTTGGAAAGATGGGAAGGAAGGGAGGTGGGATATTTTTAATCATTTGCAAAGTCATCTAACCCAGAAGTAGAAATCTTAGCAAGTTTACATTTTAAAGCAGATGGTATTACTAAAACCATAAAAGAAAAAGCCCCCTAGATCTCACTTCACCAATGTTACTATAATAGACAAAGCCTGTGCAACATCTTACATGACTGTAATGCATGTATCCAAACACCACCCTTAGTCTACATGCTAAAAGAAGCCCTACATCGTTCATAAGTTTACACCTTAAACATGATTAGGTTGAGACACTATTTCCTGATCTTTCCCAGCTGCTGACCCACACGTAAACCAAACTGCATCTGGCTGTTTTTTTTTTTTTTCAACACCATATAGTACAAAATGGATAGGTTAACTTAGTGATTCCTTGGGAGAATGAGCCACTTTTCTAAAATCGTAGTAAATAAATATACACAAACATAAATAAAACAGTTTCAAATTAAGGGTCTGCCATTAGCCTATAAATAAGATGGTCACACAGCTTGGCAGACCAGAAGACAGGCAGCCTCAGAATGATGGACATTCCCAGGACCATCCAATGCATCTGCACAATCATGTGTGTACCCTTAGCCCCAAGGTTAAGGATGTATATCAAGACATAGGCCACAGATAAGTTTTTAAAAGTCAGGTAAAGCCAAAAGGGTACCAAATCAGACCTTTGTTCAGGCTTCCACAGGACCAAGATTTATTTAATTCAAAGAAAAGAA